ACTAAAAACAAGATCTCCCCATATTATAATTAAAATAAGTTGTTAGTGGAACTAGCTAGCTAGCAAGCAGCGGCTTACTAGCTGCTTGCTAGCTAGTAGCAACTTATCTCACTTATAACTAGATGTATTTGATATTTCCCATGTTATAAGTGAAATAATCTGCCAGTGGAACTAGCTAGTTAGAAGCACGCGCTTGCTAGCTGCGCAGCATCAATTTGTTATTTGAAGCACTAATAAATATGCTAAGCGGATGTGATGTTGACATCAATATTATGTATTCTGTTCTTAATAAATATTTGAGATCCTCAAATAACAGAAACCATTATGAGAATTTTAAAACCTACCTCCAGATTTCCAAAAACACCCAGATTTCTTACCTTTGTCGAATTCAGCAAACCAAAGCTGTCTGTTTTTATGCTGCTTGCGCCCAACTGAGAATAAGTATGTATGCAAATATGATTGTGCATCTCTGACTGTGTGTCTGAGTATTATTTTGACAGAGCACCTCCTGCTGTTGCTTTGTGTGAATGATTCAGAGATCAACTGAGCTCATAAATAATTTAGAGGACATGCGTTCGGCTGTGAATATTTCATAGTTTGTGAAAGTGAGCAGAAACGCTCGGATTGTCGTTTGGCATCGGCCGGTCTGCTCTCAGAAGAAAAAAAATGAGAGAAAGTGTAGACAGGGGAAAATTACAGCAACTGCTTCCTTTTTTTGTTGTTGTCATTTTTAGTTCGAGAACAACCTGTGGCACTTTTGTCTCTTATGCTAAACCAACTTTCACAAACCCACAGCATTTTATACAAAAGGTTTCGGTAACACTTTATTTGAAGGGGTTGAATAAGACTGACATGACACTGTCATAACACCTGTCATGAACATGAATAAGCCTTCATGAATATTTATGACTGTTGTCAAAAATCGTCATTCGGTAAATTATGACACTTTTAATACAAAGTTGACATTATTCAAAATGTCTTTGTTATGACAACTTGACATTAACCAAGAAATCATTACTGATATAAATTTGTTATAAAAGTATTACTGATTGCACTTTAAAAAATTAGGTAACTTTATGTTATTAAAGGTAAAGTTTAAACAGTAATGATTTATTGGATTTATTTATTGCAATCTGAAGGCAAGCAGCAGCAGCTGAAAATGGAACAAATGTTGATATTTTGGTCTCAAATCAAACCAAGTCTACCAAACTATCTGGTGAGAAAACACCAGATAGCCCCCTAAAAGGCAGTTGTTTTTGAGGTGATTTATTTAACGTCTTTAACAACTACAGTGTTCGTTTCTACACTCCTATTAGTACACAAGGCAGTCGTCAACTCTGCTATGGTGCATTACATCCTCAAACACACACACACACCTATTCCCCCGGGGAGAAAATCAGGCAGATTTGACAGGACGGGCTGATATGAACAAGTAAGCAGCAGGATAAAGAAGCAGTTCCCGCAGACAGAACGTCGCTCCAGGTGTTTGAATCTGTGTAGATTTTAAGTAAGTGCCTGCTGCAGCCCATTAAACATGCGATCCTTACCTGGATTAGGTGTGTGTGTGTGTGTGTGTGTGTGTGTGTGTGCAGATGTGTTTGTCAAATTGATGTGTAACTCACAGTGAGGAGAGGGAGCGATGTTAGCATCTCTGCTGTTTGTCAGGCTTGCATAAGCCCTGCCTCCTCTAGTCGGAGTTTTCTCTCTCAGCTAATGGAAAATCAAATTGAATCTCATCTTTCTTCCCCGATCAGCCAGTCAACATGTCACAGTGAGTTTTGTTGTGTGGGACCTTGCTTGATTTTTTTCCCCACTTTGTGCCCTTTTATTTATTTATTTATTTTTTTATCACGCTAAACGTCGTCTTGATGTGAAAGTGGCTGACATTTGCATTTTGGCTCCAGTAAAGCGAGACATTTCCTAAGAGAAATCCCTTTTTAAACAATCAGGATTGTTTTTTCCTGGCAAGATTATTATAGTTAATAATACTAGTTATATACCTATAATGGTAACACTAGTGAGATAGTAGTTGTATTTTTTAATGTGTGTTATGGTGATGACATGAATGTCAAGAATACATATTTGAGCAAGATTGTAAAAACGTCCATTGCTGCTATAAATAAAAAAATGACCCATCATTACGGCTACTTTGGGCCTTTATGGAGGTTTTTCTTTTACAAAATCATGAACCCTTAAAAGTAAATGATTTATTAAAATTATAATAAAGTCTGTCAAAGCTTAAAGTCAAAGAAGAAAGTAGATGCATTTGATCAACACCAAAAATCCTCAGTCATTCCATCTCACATGATCATGAAAATGACACTAAATGACAAACTACCAGCCTCGGTTGGCAACACAACGTTCCCTCAGTTCTGCGTAGGCAGATCAGAAGGCAGGTTATATTTCCATTGTTGTGGCTCATACAGGCACTTCTTCTGTCCTGACAACAGTACTGACATTCTCCTCATCACTCCTTGTCCATGAAAAAAATAAAAATAAACGTTGAAATTTCTGAGTCAAAAAAACTTTCTTCACAAAAGTTGTGCCCAAAATTTCTCAGACAAAAATGTGGGACTTTTGACGCTCAGAAATGTCCAACTGTTCTCTTGAAAATTTGAGACATTTTCTTTTGGCAGAAATTGATCTTTTTATTTCAGACTGCAGAGGCCCTAATACTCCATTATAAATCGCAGCTACATTTTGTGTCATATTGTGAAAAAAAAAACCCTGCTGTGCTTTCACTTCCTGTTGCTTGCATCTAAATTTGACGGACAGGCCAGTTATCACATTTTCAAACTGTAATACTCTGTTTACAGAGTACACTGCTGCAGTGCGCAGAATACACCCTGCAGACAATACTACGATTCATCGGACCGGCACATCGTCAGTAAGTTCTCATCCGTAACAGCGGAGTATCATCATATCACTCCATAGTGGAAGTATTTGATTGGCTGACTCTTCACTACTGATAAGCAGGGAGCTCTCCGCCTACAGCTGCAGCAGACAGTTTGGTTCCGTTCCATATTTTTTCCTCTCGGTAATCAGATTCATAATCGAGAGTGAGGTCTACGTCAAGGACGGTCTCCGTGCGAGTCCGGCTGCGAGCGTCCCTGAACTACACGTCACGGTGTGTAGTTGTTAATAAAAACTCGTCGATACGATTGTGTCTCAATTAAAAGGGGATGTGGCGTGAGGCCCGGCTGGTTTCCCGGTGTCAGAAGTGAAAAATGAAGATTGCTGCACAGTGTGGTCTGACAGACATTGACAGAGAGAGACGGAGGTTAGGGAGAGGGAGAGGAAGGAAGGGAGACGTGCGCCGCATACCAAACACCCGCCGCTTCATTGTTGCACTGAGACACGTCAAAGTTTCGCTGTTCTCCTAATTAAAAGCGCTGATTAACACTGCCCAGCGTGGTGTTAGGGTTACCATGCTTCAGCCCTCGAGTTCTGCCAACTCTCATTTCTCCATCAACTACGACAAGGCGTCCAGGTCCTGGACATGTATGATGTTCTTGGTTTGAAGTTTTGGGGATCATCAACTTTTTTTGCCAAATGTGACACAGACCTTTACGATCCGTTTGGTTTCCACTTTGAAACTCTCCAATGGCCTCCACTGACGTCCAGCCACTCTTTCTTATTGTGGAGTCATGAACACGGACCTCAACTGAGGCAAACGAGGTCTGCAGAGCTCTAGATGTCCCTCTTGGTTGTTTTGTGAGCTTCTGGATGAGTCGTTGATGAGTCTTGAGGTATCTTTGGTAGGTCGACCACTTCTTGGAAGGTTCTACTGAGGTTTTCTCTATTTTTACTGTAGTTTACTGGAGTCCCAAAACCTTAGAAATGGCTTTATTACCCTCTCCAAGCTGATATGGCCTACTTCATGTTGTCAGTTAGATTCTGTATGGCGAAGCGATTTCTTGGTTCTCCAGTTTCAGCCAGCCTGGGTGTGGCTAGTGAAACTGATAAATGTGATTAATCACAAGCAATCCAACGTAGGACTAATCTGTTGTTTTGTTTTGTTTTTTTTTAATTAAGTGATTAGTAATTGTACATCAAATTCTGCTTAATTGATGTATTTTACAGAATTTGAACTAGGTAAAGCTAAAACTATGGCTCTCGAAGAGTTCTGGGTAGAACATATTCTCAGACAAAGGGTTTATTTTTATCTTAAATGCAACATATATGTGTACAGTTGTGACTTACTTCCAGCTAAGTGTGTTGTTCTTGGAGGAAATGACCTTTTCTGAAGCCACAAATAGGCCTTAATCGCTTGGTAAACGATTAATCGATAAGCTAATTGTATTTGATTAATGATACTTAATTACTGACTCATTACTAAATGATTAATAACTCAGTAAACAATCAATCTATTAATCATAATGGATTAACAAATTATTAAACAGTTAGTTGATTAACTACTTAGTAAAAGATTAACTGATTGATTATTTAGTAAGTTCTTAATCGATTAATCATTTAGCAAATGATTAATCGATTGTTTGATGATTGTTTGAATAAGTTGTTAATCTGATTAACCGTTCCAGCTCAGCTAGCATGCATCCTGCATGGCCTCTGTCAGCGTTGCCCTTCTGGCTCAGCTAATGAGGTTGTTTCATGTTTTCCATCGGCCGTGTGCGGTTCGCCCGGCGCAGCGCTCTCAGGCGGGTGACTGCAGCGGTACCAGCCCACAAACGGCCCACATAAAACGGCCCGGGCCTGCGTTTGTTTGCGTGTGCACACCAGTGAGTGCCGGTAACGTTTAAGGACGAAAAGATTAAAAACCGATGTTTGGCAGTTGTCAGTGTGCATGGATCAGGACTTGGGTGTGTGTGTGTGTGTGTGTGTGTGTGTGTGTGTGTGTGTGTGTGTGGCTTTTATTGCTTGAAACACAGCTTCAATTGTAACTGTGTCTAAAAAAATCCACTAATGTAGATTCCTGCTGAGTTTTTTTTTTTTTTTCGATGACTTTGTCCTTATTTTTCCTTGTTTTCTGTCTCGCCCAGGTAAACCGTGAAGGCGGATCAGACCAAACTAGCCGACACGTCCACTGATCCATGGCTCCGTCTGTCTTACAGGCAATCTGATGACAGGACTTCAGACGACGACGACAAAGGACGACCTGCTATGGCCAGTGGTAAATAATGAAAAGCTGAAACTGCCTGACAAGACTTTGAGCAAATCAAGGTTGGTGATTTTCGGGATGAAAGATTGTCCGTTTCTGACAAATTTGTTCCAGGAGCTGATGGTCCAGGTAACCTCGGAGCTGAGCAGAACCCCCTGAGCATCCCCGTTGCTGATCATGGAGCCTGGGCCACAGCCATGAACAACCTGGGCATCATGCCTGTGGGCATCAGCGGGCAGCAGCTGGTTTCAGGTACTGCCTTCTCGCTACGTGAAGTCTTTCTTGTCATCGTGTCGAGGATTACATCTTTATCTTTGGCTACGTGTGAAGATGCCTTTTTCTCCTGTTGGATGGTTCTTTTCCCTGCCTGCGCAGAGACAATAATTTAATCTGAACGCATTTAATTAAAAATGTAAATCCTACAACAACACCCAGAAAGAGCGGCGCGGTACTAGCATGGGCTTGTTGTCAAGATTTACACTCAGAATAAAAAAAATAAAAAAAGGGGTGAATAAATAGAAGGTCGAAGTAATATTATGTTCTTAGAAATGAAAATATGAAAAGTGCGGAGATGTTTATGCTTAGTTGGGCAGCATTATGTAGAATGGACTTTGTTCAGCTTTATGTCATGTTATAATTATATCACTTATACCTGAAGTGTTGCCTTGACTTGTTCCTGCATGTCTGAGAAATCATTTTATCTCCATGGCAACAATTCAGGATTGCCAAAACGCCTGGGTGGACTTAGCCCCGCCTTCGAGGTTTAGCTCCTCCTCAGAGCTGCAGTTTCCAAGCTTCCACCTCACAGAGCAGCTCTTCCCAGTGAATCCACCACTCAGCTCCCTCAGACTAGCCAGCAGCAATTAGCAAACACCTGGAACTGTGCATCTGCTGAGCTCATTATAGAAATTACTTCTCAGTGAAACGCTGGTAAAAACGTTGTTAAAGGATTAATAGAGGAGCCATGTTGTGATGACTTCCTGAAGGAGGAGTTACAAAAAGAGCAGGAACTTCTTAAAGTTACAGAGGCCCAATTTCAAGACGTTAAATTAAGTCAAATTTCTTTTTAGTCATATTTGATATCTATGAAGCTAACGAGACACATCGCCCTGAACATACAACCAGCACTGTGAAACGTGGTGGTGGCAGCATCATGCTGTGGGAATGTGTTTCTTTAGCAGGAACAGAAAAAGCTGGTCAGAGTTCATGAGAAGATGGATGGAACTGATTCAGGGATATTTGGAGGGAAACACTTCAGAATCTCCAAAAGACTAAAACAAATGAAAATGGTCCAGTTAAAGTCTGTTTGTCCTCAACACAGTCACCCAGGCTTTGACTCCCGATATCAAGACCTTTTTGTCTGAAAAACTGCAATTAAAGATGACTGGTACAAAAAGAAAAAAAAAACAACATAAGAATTTGTAAAGTAATTATGCAAAAAAAAGTTTTAATTTTATTATTTTTAAAAAAGCAGCACTTCTTTTCTTTTCGATTGATTTTAAATTGCACACCAGACATGCAAAGAAGTGGTGGAACTCTCTGAAGTGAGAGATTTTGCATGTGTGTGAGTTTATCTGCAGTACCAGATGTTTCCAAGCATTGCTGTCCCTCTAATAAGCTTCACTGAGCAGAACTCGCTCCAAAAAAAAATGTCCGGCTTTTCTCCTCTGTTGCAACGCTACTTTCCATCTTTTCAAGATCCGCTTCCAGATATCCAGCTGTGACACTTTTCTCGGGAATGCCGGCCTCAGGAAAAAGAAACAAAAAACAGAGATGTGTGCATCTGGAGTTATTCAGTCCTTCAGTTTCTGTCCTTCTGTGACGCCCAAATGTTCTGTAATCCTAAAACTGAAAGTGTGAAAACGTTACAAAAACCAGAGGGATTTACCTATCCTGGATCACTCTAGTGCTTTAAAATATGACTGAAATCCAGCAACACAATATTTATTCTACACACAAGTTTCTTTTAATTTCTGTATAACTGTGTGTTTGTTGCCAGAATGTTTCAGCATGTGGACCCGGATAAGTTCTGTGGTAAAGTAAAATGCGTGATGTCATCATAGTGATGGCATGATGCGCCGCTACCTTCACCTCTGGAAACAGACGTCCTCCTCCGCCACATGTGGGAACGTTTAGGGAAAATGAGACAAGCGTGACATGAAGTGAATCTGATGCATTATGTGGAGCTTTAGCTGCGAATCACAAAAACATGTGTTGACACTTATCTCTTTGAGAAACGGTCTCATGTTTACACAGCGGTGGTGAAGGTGTCCACAGCTTTTGCCCAACTGAAATGAATACCATGAGATACAAGTGTTCTTAGTTTGGGCTGGCACTTAAATCTGGATAAATATCTAATTTACAGTAAAACAGAGTGACGCTCTAGGGTCAAAATGAACAACGATAAGCACAAATGTGAGGATTCTGAAAAGTATGTTTATTTCTGTACTTGACTGTAAGCTGGAGTTTTTATTCATCTCTCTTAGTCCTGTACGTAACTGTTTGAAAACTTTTTCTTTATTTTACATATTTGTTAAAACTTTCACTATGTCACTATAGTGTAATATGAGCCATGGTAACATGAAAAAAATCAAGCTCCTCCATCACTTCTCTGTGGTTCTACTGCCATTTGCAGAAATCCATCACTCCCGGCTAGAAACAACCAATCAGAGCCAAGAGGAGAGTCTTAGTGCTGTCAATCACCCTAGTATACGCACTGCTCAGACCCTCCTCCTTGCTCTTTGCTATGCTACATCTAGTTCTTCCATAACAGAGCCTGCCATGAATGCTAATGCTAGTTAGCATAGCCACCGATGGCAGAGTATAAACAGTTTTAATGCAACGGTAAGTTGTTTCTCCCCCATTAGCACATTTAGCATTCTACCAAGCCTGTGAAGCCATTGGTGCATTCAAGTGTGCTGTGGTGGTGCAGAGTTATCAGATGCATTTGTAATTAAGTACATTTATGTCTGTATTTGAAAAAAATAAACATTTTGAGTCAATTCAGCACCGATTGTCTATATCGGATCCGTATTGGCCGATATCAAACCACAGATATCGGTATCGGAGGTGGAAAAAGTGGATCGTCTCTCTAGTCTTAAGCTAACAAATGACGACTCTGCCGGAATCTGGTTCTGGATATTGTTATTATGATTGATGAATACAGGCGCTCAGGGAGCATGCAGAAAATTGTTCTGAAAATTAGCCGTACAAATTGCAGATTTGGGTGGAATCGTACAGGAGCGTCTACTGTTTCTCACATGATTAATAGGGCTGGAGACGTGTCCAAGTCACGTTCGGATGTTTGTTTCAATTAAAGATTAGACTCAGGATAACTTCAAACCTCACATCCGCGTCTCTCTGCGGCGCGCTAATCGCAGCCAGATGTCTCGCCGCCAGGCTGCCGCCGCGGCTCACGTCTTTTGGCGGTTCCGCTTTAAGCTGTTTTTAAAATAATCACATTTACCGGGCTTAAACACTTATTTTTCTCCCTTCAAATCGTGTTTTTTGTGTGTGTGTTTTTTGCGTTTATTTGCCCCTGATTTTGGCTGTGCCTGCCTCTGTGTGTGTGTGTGTGTGTGTGTGTGTGCGTGTTTTTATTTTGCCTTTCTCTATCTCTTCCTGTGTTTGCGTCCCTGGCAGAGGCAGAGCCAGAGCTCGGAGCCAGACAAACGAACCTGGCTCGGCTTGATTTTTGGCTCCGAGAGAAGAGCCGGGAGCGAGAAGCGACCCCCTTGTGATTACAGTGAATGCGTGACACCGAGATGTGCAATTTACCTGTCAGGGGGTTACAGCAGAAGGCACTTTAATGAGTTTCTTCAGGACCTGAAGAATCTCTTAGGCAGCAGCGGCTCAGATTTATGCCCGATTATCTCGCCGCATGTTTTTATTTCTTTTTTTGATAAGCCTGAAGATCTCCGATATTATGCGGCTCCAATATTATTTTCCAAACACGAAAGCATCGAGTGCCTGTAGCATTGAGTTTGCTTGAATGTTAAAGAGAAAAATGCAGATGTGTTAGGAATTACTGCGGTTATTCCTAACACATCTGTTAGAGTAGCTGCTCAGAAAACAAGCCTCTCTAAGAAAAATACGGTTTTAAAAGTGGCAAGATAATTCACTAGAAAAACAAATAAATAATTGCGTAAGTGTTTAAAAGAGCATGATTGTAGCTCAGAACAACAGCACAGCACATAAGTGTGAATGACAATGCCAGAGGGCCAGTATACAATGGCTGTTTGGAGTGCTGGTGAAACAAAGTGTTTCCACCAACCAAACCAAAATGGCACGAGCCTCTTGTTGGTTCTATGCTGCCTGGTTCCAGCTGCCAACAAACCCAAGTGAGGGGTGGCTAACAACCATGTAGAGAGAGACATCCTGTGGTCGTGAAAAAGGTGCTAAACATGTTTGGTCCTCTTTAATTAAACTCTAGTTCGTTTGTCTAGAAAGTCCGGTTCGTTTGGGGAGGTGTGAACGCACAATCGAACTCTGATCCGGACCAAACACTCAAACTCTGGTTCGCCTAAAAGCTAATTTCTCGGATCTGTTGAAGTGAACTCTGGCGCAAATGTGTAATGTTAACGCCAAGCGGAGAGGAGACCGCTGAGAAGGAACTTCGTCTCAAAGGCGGAGCTAGATCCCACAAAGTGTTTTGCACAGTTGAATGGTTGCCATGGAGATTAAAGGATATCTCAAACATGCATGGAAGAATCAAATCAACACCCAGTTTGTTTTTTGATGGGGAAATAAAATTACAACATGATGTAAAGCTAAAAAAACATTGCGTTTACATAACATTGCCCCTTTAAAATTGATGTTCTCCATCCAATCTGACCGACCTTGAGCCAGTTTGCAAAAATTAAACAGTATTTCATCTTGATTTTTATCAAATTAGCATAAGTGCTAAATTCCCCTCCTCGTTAAGTCAACAGGACATTTAAAGAGCCGCAGTCTCTGTTTTCTCTCGTGTCCTGACTGTTCAGACCAGCAGCAGCAGTAAAAAAAAAAAAGAAAAGGCTTTCACTGTGAATCAGGGCTGCATTTTATCAGTTCTCCGCACAGAGAAACAAAAGAAACATTTATTTCTATTAAATTACGATTCGGGAGGCGTTTATCACGTCCTCCTGTGACAGCCCCCCTCTCGTGCGATTTGAATCACTGTATTCGCAGCGGAGCTGCGACTCTGTGGGGCCGCCGTGCAGGAGGATTTTCTGCTGACGTTCTGTTCCTCCCGCTCCCTTGTTGTTGCAGTGTGGGAGACGGGTGGGGGGAGGTGGGGGGAGGCGTGCGGCGCTGCACCGCCCTCCTCCAACCCCCCACCCCACCCACCACTCCAGACAGGAGAGGCATTGCTGCTGTCGCCTCTGTTTTCTCATTGTTTATCTTCCCCATTCTTCTTCACTTTCTTTGTCCTGGAGAAAAGACACCCTGTTCTTCCCTCCTTCTCCTCCATCTTTCCCGCAGGCCTATTTCAGATGATGTATTTTCATTTTTTTTAATTTCTGTTTCTTTTTTTTCTTTTTACCACAGATCCAATCTGCAGCTTTCTCTTTTTCCTATCTGCTACCTCCAAGATTATAGCGATGCTTTCTTATCTTTGGTTTTCCTTCCTTTGTTGTCTGACCCACTTTTGAGGCTGGGATCTTTTTATGTTTCTGATAAGTTGGAGAGCAGTTTATTAATGTACTATTTGGAGCTGTACTTTAAACAGTTTTTTAGTTTAAAAAAAAAAGAAGAAGATTTAACAAAAGCCAGCATGAGGAAAACAAGACACCACTTTCAGGAGGCCTTGTAATTGTGATAATAATCCTTTAAATTATCATGACGACCTCAGTTCTGCATTGAGATCCTCTGAGGTCTCTGGCTTGATAAAGCTTCAACCTGCCAATTATATATTAAAGCAGAGGTGTCCAAAGTGTGGTCTGGGGGCCATTTGTGGCCTTTTAGATGATTTTGTTCGCCCCCTGGCCGTCTGGAGTGGTAAAAAAAAATATCTGTCCAACAGAACAATAGATGACCATAAAAATTGGGAAATTGTTTTTCTTTTAATAAGGCAACAGTCTGAAGCCATTCTTGAATGATATACAGATTAAAATTTGGTTTATTGTTGAGAATGTAAAAGAAAACTAAACAAAACAAAAATCATCCTCAGCTCAACTTTCATTTACTGAGTTTAAATGAAAAATGCCAGTAGTTTAAATTTGCCAATTTTTGGCCCCTGGACATCACTGGATTAATACAAGAAGACCATTAAATTATATTCTTCCAAACATGTTTAGGCCTGAGCTTTGATTAGGCCATTCCAACATGAAGGTGGAAAGCATTAGGTGTAGAGCAAAATGTCAATCGTCTGCATTCAAAGTGAACACGAGTCAAACTTGAAGACGCATTTTTGACGCTCGTAATGTGTTGCAATCTTGTGCAAACTCTAGGTAAATCTTAAAAAATCATATCCGATGAAATATTGCCTTCGATTAATTTAATGGTGTAAAACTGTTTCGTCTTGTTGATCTCAAACAGTCTGTGTTGTTTGTTGTTGTTGTTCTACTGTCTGTCCTACAGAATCGCTGTGCATCCCGAGATTCGACCCCGGACTGGGCCTTATTGCACCAATCAACCCCATGATGGGAGGCATCAGCCTGGTCCCGCCTCCACCCATTCCCCCCGACGTGCCTGTCATCAAGGAGATTATCCACTGCAAGAGCTGCACTCTGTTCCCTCAGAACCCCAGTAAGAACCCGTCAGCCCGTTCTCTGGAGGACAGTCGTTTCTTAAAAAGGAGATCAAACCAGATTAACCTGATGTAGCAATAACTACCAGAATATCGATAGACGTATCAAGTAAAGCCTAAATATCGTCTCATAAGTTGCAGATTTGTCCCAGTTTAGAAAACGATTAGACTGCGGCGTAATGACGTCTGTGCTGGTGACCTCAGATCTGCCCCCTCCGTCGACGCGGGAGCGGCCCCCCGGCTGTAAGACGGTGTTTGTGGGAGGCCTGCCTGAGAACGCCACGGAGGACATCATCAGGGAGGTGTTCGACCAGTGTGGGGAGATCATCGCCATCCGCAAGAGCAAGAAGAACTTCTGCCACATCCGTTTCAGCGAGGAGTTCATGATTGACAAGGCTATTTATCTGTCAGGTGAGCAAAAAGCTCATCTTATATTTTGATTTTGTTAACGGGACTAAATAAACCCAGGTTGTACTTACTTATAGCTATTTGTGATATTTTGATGTCGCCTGACTCCGGAACATCCACTGTAATATTACTTCTGACTCTGTTGATCATCGGCAATATCTCTAACTGGGTTACGAACGTAGTCAGTCTATCAAATGTGTCTCCAGAGTCGTTTAACTTCTGTTTTTGTGGCAGAAAACTTAGGCAGATCATATCGGATCCCAAGAGCCTGCCGTACGGAGGACTCAACCTATCATGAGAGTTAATTGCGCTTCGCCGTTTCTCGTTCAGGATATCGGATGCGCATCGGCTCCAGCACGGACAAGAAGGACTCTGGGAGGATCCACGTGGACTTCGCTCAGGCCAGGGACGATTTGTACGAGTGGGAGTGCAAGCAGCGCCTGCTGGCCAGGGAGGAAAGGCACCGGCGAAAAATTCACGAAGACCGCCTGCGTCCGCCGTCTCCTCCCCCCATCGTGCACTACTCTGAACACGAGGCGGCGCTGCTGGCGGAGAAACTGAAAGGTTGGTCACGCTAAGAGGTATGGGACCAGTGACGGTAGATTCACAGCTAAACGTCGTCCTGCTTGGTGCTAAAGGCCGAGGCAGCTCGTTTTATTTCCAGGGAGCGCGTGAGTGAAGGAAATGTCGTCACTGGTGATTTGCTTCAGCAGGAGTAAAATCTGGAGGCGTTCTGGATACAGCGACATTTTAGTTCAGAATCACGTAAAGCTCCTTAAAGATGATGCACAGGTTTACATGTTTGTGTTGTGTAACCTGCTGTTCAGACCACCTGCTGGGTGTAATGCCAAAGGCAGATGAATCTTTTAAGAGGCTGAACAATTATCAATCTTTGCCCCGTTTGTGGAAACCGGTACAAACGAGTGTGTTTGTGTAAAGGCGAATCAGGTTAATCTGCTTGTTAAATCATGTGAATTGCACAAAAATGACAGATTACCATCAAGTCAATGGAAGGCAACTGGATTTGATTTGTATATATGTGTTTTTTGATGTGGAAGAATGAAAATCTGAACTCATCAGCCTGATTACAAGGTTCCCAAACGTTGTTTATTTCATAGGTTCACCATTTTCCAGACTCTTCCAGGTTTTTTTTCCTTCCTCTGCACTTTGTGCGCCGTTCTTGATATTTGAGTCCTCAATATTCATCACGAACAGATGAGAGCGGAGTTTGTGCTCTCATCTGTCGGGTCGACAAATCGCGGAACAAGCCGGTGCCAAAATGTGTTTCCAATTTTCAGAGTGTGGTATAGGGCCTTTTCCCTGCTTTTTTTCCTCACATCTGGTTTCACTTTGAATAAATTCATCTCAAAATCAGGAAGGCCCGTACCTGTCAAACGAGGATTGAGGTGTTAAAGAATAAATCGATTCCTTAAAGGAAAGTTTGTAAACCAATTTTACCCGTATTTTGTTTAGGGAAAAAAAAGCTTTTTAACTGGAAATGACAGATTTTTTGTGTAAAGCCAAGCTTATCTTGCAAGTATATCAGAAAAGTCAAAACCTTGATGTTGAAGAAAGCAAAACTAGATGGATGTGGGACAAAATGACCACCATGTAGGTCTGGATTGGGAGTACGAATAGATGAAGGGGTCGCTTCTCTTGTTTCCTCTTTCCCCTCCATCCTGCTTGTAAATGTTTCACCTGCTTCCTCCGCACGACGGGAGGCTGCAGAAGAAACAGCGTGGGAGTGAGCTGAATGAGGAGCGGAGTGAGAAGCCGAGGATGAGCGATTGTTTGTGGGGGAGTGTGAAGGTCACCGCTCCTCCTCCGTTATGTATCCTCCGCTTGGCCGGGGCGGAAGTCTATCTTTCCCCGGAACGAGAGCGGCTGCGTATCTGCAGGGAGGAGACGTCTTCTCCTCTCTGGGTTCCTGGAAAACGGGCTGGGCTGGAACCAGTTAGGTCATTTAGTTTAATTCAATCTCATTGAAAATCAATCCACTAATTATTTATTATACAGTGATCATCAGTTTCTCCTTAAACATGTGGCGAACCCAGCTCTATGTACCACCCTGTGTTGTTGTTTGACGCGATAATAAATGTAACGATAGCAGGATAATTTACTGACTCTACTGTAGAAAGCCTCTCTGCATCTACCATATTTTCCCATACCCTAGCACACATTAGCAGTAATGCTAGGAAGTGTATGAAAACGTCTGGAGTTCACACCCCAGACTTCAAATGCAGAAATAGTTTTAGGTTAAAGCGCTAATTTTCTACAGTATCAAAGTGCAGTGTCATGTAAAGTAGACTTTTTTAGCTTTATAACATTATTCCCTCGTCAAAAACATTCCTGGAGTGTTGCTTTTATTCCTTAATGCATGTTTGAGAAACCCTTTAATTGGCCATGGCAACCATTCAGCTGTGGAAAATGCCTGGGTGGACCAAGCCCCGCCTTCCAGGACGAAGCTCCTCCTCCGAGCTGCAGTTTCCGTGCTTCTGAGCTTCCACGTGACACAGCACCCCTCCCGCACTCAGCTCCTTCAGACTAGCCAGCAGCAATTAGCAAACGCCTCATCACAGCACATCAGCAGAGCTCATTACAGGAGCTACTTCTCAGTGCAACCCTGGTAGAAACGTTGTTAGAGGGTTAATAGACCAGCCATGTTGTGACGACTTCCTGAAGGCGGAGTTTGTCTTTGGCTTTTCTGTGACAAAGAGTTTTGTCAGCACTGACGGCCCATAGCATTTTGAATTTACAGCACTGCAATAATTACTAGACAAACAGTAATTCACACTTTTACACATTTTCATATCAACCCAATGTGTCTAAATAGATATAAAATAATGGAGAATCTGAAAATACTTTTGAATCTCCTCTGTGTACTGAATTCGTCTATACATCAACAACAAAACAAAAACAGGAAAATACCGTCGAACACGTGCCAAAGCGTACTGGTCCAGACCGGTTGATGCTCATCCGTTCCAGCAGCGATGCTACAGAAGGAGAACTCTGCAGTCTGCTTGTTCCTTTTTCCCATCCCTGCTATATTTAGCCATGTTGTTCTCTCTACATTATCCTTTTGTTAAAGCGACAGAGCAAATACATTGGAGAGTGTTTTCTATGGATGAGGTACTGAGTGGCGAGCTGGCAGACAACGGGGACGATTCTGCCGCAAGGACTCCCTGTAGAGAGCTGCAGCTATGAAGAACCATTACATGGTTTTAAATGATGTGTCAACCAGAAAACTCAGCAATTTATTGTAGTCAACGTTGTTATTTTGTGTAGGCTGGTCATTGGAGCCTGTGTGTGTTGTTGGTGTTCCCAAATGACCAGGCTTAACACTCACTGAAGGAATAAACACCAGCCAGTACGCTTTTCCCTGCCATGCCCCCTCAAACAGCATTAGCTTCTGGCTAGCCCACAGACAATGCTACAAAACATGCAGAGAAACATTCACTTGTAGAATGTTTGTTCTCACATTTATTCTATGTTAAAAGATTATTACATTTGTTTAGCATAAATACTTTTGATATTAGTTGGCCATGTTTTTCTGTTTACCAGTGTTTTCCACAGCGAGGCTTCTGGAACGTTCCTTCAGGCTTTTTCTTGACGAAAATGTTTCCATTTCGCGCTTGCTAGCTGTGCTAGTTTGAGGAGCTGAGCAGTTTGATACATTTTGCAGCCAATCAGATGAGCATGGCGAATAACATTTCTATAAGTTATTTTAACTTATATTATATAATAATCATTGTAAAACAGATTAGATTCTATGATAAAAATTATAATAAAAAATGTTGCGCTTGCTAGCTTTGCTAGCTTGAGAGGCTAAGCAGCCTGATAAATTTGACAACCAATAAGAAATATGAGCACGGCGAATAACATTTCAATAAGTTATCTTAACTTATATTTTATGATAATGATTGAAATTTATAAAAAAAATATACTGCTCAAAAAAATAAAGGGAACATTTCACTTTAATTTTGTGTGTGGCTCCAAATCCAGGCCTCCATTGGTTAATAAATTTGATTTCCATTGATGATTTTTGTGTGATTTTGTTGTCAGCACATTCAACTTTGTACAGAACAAAGTATTCAATGAGAATATTTTATTCATTCAGATCTAGGATGTGTTATTTGAGTATTCCCTTTATTTTTTTGAGCAGTGTATATTAAAATTAAAAATTATATAAAGATTTTTTATTAATTTTTCTTTATTTTGGTAGTTTTTCATTTTTCCCACCACCACTTTCAAAAACACTGTTAATGAAGCTGACACATGGCTACTGTTGGGGAAAAAAAGAAAAGTTTTTATTCTAAAATTGAACGTTGTAATTCAGAAGCAATAAATCAAACTACAAACGACATACAAAACAGAAATACATAACATAAAATCATAACAGTAAAATTAAGGATAAGATTTCCCTTGTTTTCTGCTCCAGGTTTCTTTCCTATATCTCCTGAGAAGCAGCAGCCTGCTGCTTTGATCTGTTAATATTTGCTTCTCCGTAATCTGAGCCTGTGTGCAGTTTTTTTTCTCCACTCCTCCCGTCCTGTAATACCTAAATAAACAAGCATGTTTTCTCTCTGAATAACCCTTTTCAATTCATTCTTCCCGTCAGACAGCAGGGGAAATAAATTTCCATTCTCCCGTCGCTCGTCCTCCGTTCAGCTCCGTCTCATTGTTGCGCGCTGTAATGTGACTGTAATCTGCTGCTGGGAATGAATGGGCCTTTATCAGAGCCACTGGAAAGTGTCTTCTTACAGGTTGTGTTGCACTGGGTATTGAGCTCATTAAGCGCCGTCTAATTCACTCTGTTCTGCGGTCTTCAGCCGCTCTGTGGCATCCTTCAATTATTATTCAAATGGGGAGGAAGAAAGCCGGAGACGGAGGCATGCGGAGACTCGGCTCTCTGCAGCTGAGGCTGATTGTGGGTTAGGAAGTTGAAAAATCACCAAAATGACTTTTGGTGAGAGGCGGCGGTTCATAGAGCAGCAAGCAGTGAGGGGATGCAGAGAGGGATTTTATCAATCGCTTCCTGAGGTTGGGTTTGTTTAGCCAGGATGAGAGTTAAACCTCCGATGAAGTGGAGCTTTAAGGAAATACTCAACATTTCATTGTTAAGAGATGAGGCACAATTTAACAAAGTAGTTAAGAATGAGAATAGTAGTAATGGTAATGGGGTAGTAATGCATCCTGAATGTGACTGGACAATTCTAATCTGGCTCGAAGGATGATGTTTTTTTTTATATTTTCTCGCGTGAGCGGACTTCTCCACGTGCGACTTTGATCGTAACAGGAACTCCACAATTGTGAAATTGTGTTGCATCAAAATTTGCAAAACATCAGCAAAACACTGCACACATTTATAATGGAAACACAACCAATAAAAATGTCTCCAAAGAGGGATTCATTAAAAACATCAGGAGGCACTGGAATAACAAAGGGGAGCAAAAAAAGTAAAAACTCAATCCAAACCCCACAGTGGTCAACCTTCTAGATCTGGTTGAACTGTTCTTCGCTGTTTCCACAGACGACAACAAGTTCAGCGAGGCCACGGCGGTGCTCTTCACCTGGATCGACCGCGGCGAGGTCAACCGGCGGACCGCCAACCACTTCTACTCCATGATCCAGTCGGCGAACAGCCACGTTCGCCGGCTGATGAGCGAGAAGGCTCTCCACGAGGAGGAGATGGAGCGAGCCAAGGAGATCTTTAAGAACGCCCTGATGGCCATACTGATGCAATGTAAGTGAGCTTTTTAAATGCGATGCAGTCACGGTGAGAGAACCTTTTCAGGCTGATGGTTGAATGAGGTAAAGCACCGGCGAGCTGTGCAGCCATTAAGGTAAGCCAGACGGATGACTTCCTGTCAGTACGTTGACGAGAACAAGAAAGACGATCCAGGAGGGATTCACTTTCATCTTGAGTTGAGGCGATTAGGATTTGTAAGAACTTTCAACACAGTAATATATTCCTGCTGATTTTGAGTTATTGAACCCGTAGTGAAACTTCTGTCAGCTCATCTCCGTTCCCTACGGGTGCAGCGGAGTTGTTCTCTGCTGCAGGGCGTGGTGCCGCAACAGATTACCGAGGTGCACGCCGTAAAGACATTTCCAGCACATCGGCTTTGGAGCCCGTTCTCGATTTGATTCATTTACTCTGCGAGCATCTCGGCCCTGTCTCCATGACAACGCTCTTTCATCCGTCTCCCCATCAGGCGGGTTATCTGGAGCTCACCGCGCTGCGGCGATGAGGGTCAGTCACACAGGAGTTTCAGAGGCAGCGGCGCGACGACGTCCTGACCTTTCCACGCCCGGGCAGCGGAAAGGTCCAGAACACGGAGCCGCCAGAGACAGGCTGCATGTTCTGGAGTTTCTGTTGTCATAGATTATCCAGCGTGGAGCAAACCAAGTTCAACATTTGATCAGCTCAAAGTCCTGATTTCATAAGCTTTACAGAGCTTGAGTTTTTACTTCCATCATTTGGGAAAACTCGAAGTTCAGCTACAGAGGACCGCCAGATATTTAGTATTTATTTAGTATACTTATTTGAGTTTCCAAATATTTAGTTAACATTAAGAGCCTCCTCGTTCAGCTCGGCTCTTCCCTCTTCGCCGTGGAAACTGTTTACCGCAGGCAATTTCCGGTAAGCTGTACAGCGTCGAACTGATCGATTACATACGTCACAAACAAACGTTAGCGATTGGGTAAAATTGAAGCTGCAGCGCAGTCCACGCCTCCAAGAAGCATTAATTTCTCGGAAGCAGAGAGCCCACCATAGCCCAGACCCTCTGAACGAAGCGAAGTGTAGAACAAGAAGAGGGTTTTTACCACTCTTTAATCTGGTATATTAATATGTTGATTTTTTAAAATTATAATTACTTATGAATTGTATTTTACTTATTTCTGTATAAATACTATCAGCTCAAAATTACAAGGTAGAATGTCATTATATTTTCTCATTAAGGTCAAATAAGTCAATACTTTCCACCGAGTGAGGACTCTTTGGTACTTACCAGCTCTGTTTTTGGAAAATCTACTTGGTTTGGGTTCAAAGCGAGTCGGGTCACCTTCTGGTCACCGGCTGGCTAACGTTGGTAGCATCTCTGGTTGAGTCACCAGAGCAACTTTGTTACAAGATTCAAACACGTTAAGATTATACTGAGTTTTGATTGAAAGCGACACAAACCGTTTCTACGTGGCTGCCCATCTGTGTGACTCCAGCAGCTACTCATGTTCAGTCTTTGCTGTCTCACCTGTATTCTGATTTAAAAATCCTCTTTAGAGTATCTGTTTTCACAGTAGATTTACCCATTCCCATCTGAAGAGTGACAGAGATGAAATAATATAATCAAGACTTCCCTGAGTCTAGCCCCAGCTTCATTAGCATGAGCTAACGGTTAGCCACATGTAGCATTCTCAGTTCTTTCTGTCATTATTTCCAATGTTACCCGAACTTCTGGTGCAAAGATGATTGAGAAGTTGTGAAGGATTTTGTACCAAAATGTTAGCCAGCTTAACAAATATCATGAGTAGCACTTCCCGTGAAGTACTGAGCTACACGATGCTCACCTTAGACGGTAGGTCCTATTTTGTTTGACTAAATGCTACATCCTGTACAGTAACCAAGGCAGATACTTGGAATGAAAAATAGTGTCATCAGTTTACTTTTCATGTTCCTGTGTTTGAATGGTGGGTGGAAGAAAGAACATTGGGGTAAGTACAGTGCTGCCAATGTTTGGTTGTTGTTTTTTAAATATGTTTTTACTGTCTTTGTGTAGATTCACATAAGAGATAACATTGATTACACTCTTTGAAATGTCTTGATTTTTTTATGTTTACACAGAAATGTTCAGTAACAGCAAATGTGAGAGCAAAACTTTAAAGGCAACATTTTTACACAGAATGGAAGAATACTGTTACTTACCTATCTAATGTGAAAGTAACCAGTTTCGTTTGTATCCACTTTGTCTGAGAGGAAACGGAGTTAAAACCATCCTTATCGTTGACATGGTAACCAGAATCTGTGTCTGAAAATCTTCTCCACACAGAAAGGCATTTGAAAATGAGCTGAAACACAGCAAAGGGGGAGCAGGGCGAATCATTTACGGGCTGAAATTCGTGACGAGAATCTAAGCGTTGTCTTTCCATTCTGGGATAAATGTTGCCTTGTCAGTCTTGAAGGAAGTGAGTCTGCTTTAATGTAAGTACTGAGCACCCAGCAGGAGAGAGACCTGTTCATCACATGACACACATTTACAATTACTTTATTATTTAATCCCTGATAAGGCAAAACATCATTCATATTCCTTGCTACTTTTGGTCTAAACATACGATTATAAATCAGCAAAAAATATTTTTATTGGCATTAAAGCAACTACTGACCAGCTTTATATGTTTTTCCTCTGATATTTTTACCATTACCATTTTATTTCATACTTTATTTTAAAGTATGAAATACTTCATACATTATTTTAATGTATAAAAAGTGCTGAAGAAACAAAAACCTGCTTTATACTGACTAAAACTGTTTTTAAAACTCTGTTTTACTACCCTATCTTGTTTGGACAGGAATGTCTGTAATAAAATAAAATCATGATGAAGGTCGTTGGCTTTTTAAAACACAATTATTCACTTTTTGGAACCTATTTTTTATTTAGCTTCCTCTAGCCTCTGCAATAACAACCCTCTCAACAAAGAAGAGGATTTCCTCTTAAATAAAGTTTTTCCTCAAACATTATTATCCTTCATTTATGTCATAATTTATTCCCTCTGGTTTTGGATTCTGTGCAGCTGGAAGGAGTTTTGCTCTTTTTCTTTCTCTTTACTTTTTTACAAATGTAAAAAAAAAAAAAAAAGTAAAAACACTGTTTAGCGTCTTAAAAGTTGAAATAACACGAGGGCTGTATTACTCCCAAACCCCAGAGGAACTGAAAAAGAGGCTTAAAGAAATTCAAACCATGTCTCTCATAGACTGTAATGGGCAAATATAATTTCTCTGACATCGATCCGCCCAGCTTCATAATCAAACAGCCAGGCAGAGATTTAAAGAAGAAAGGCAAAAGCAAATGCTGATAGTGTCACCCAGGACATGTTTCTGTAAAATATTTTCTCTTCTGTCCAGAAATTGAGCTGTTAGTCATGACAGTCTTCAGTCAGATTCCTCTAAACACTCATTGCGAGACTGACGTCTATTAGAGATCCTTCATCATGGCTCCCAAAGTGACTCTTTGACGATACATGAAATGTCTTACAACATTTAACTTCCCTTAGGTGTAAATAAAGTATTTTTAAATCTGGTCCTAAACCTCAATAAAACAATTCTGAACATTTGTACACAATGAAAGAACAGAAAGAAATGTCAAACATTAGCATATATTCTGCTGATTATCCCTGCTGAAGTCCTTGTAACCAACTTATCCGTCTGATAACCAGTTTGATTACAAAAACCATTTTGCGTGGTTTCTAAACACAAATAAAATTCTGAGTCTTTATCTCTTCGAGCCTGTGAGACTGAATCCAGTAAAACAAAGATGTGATTTTAGGGAATCATCGTAAAATAAACCAGACTTTTGCGAAATTGGCATTTATTTTACGTGAAGTATTTCTGAGTAGTCAGAAAAGTCACAAGCTGTTTCCATTGATCGTAAAATTACACAAACTGGAATTACGAAAATAAATTTGCTTAATTTCGGCAATTGCGGCAATTTTGGAAAAAACAACAAACAAACAAACAAAATGTGTTTTTTGATAAAAGGCTTTTGCGCTAGAATGACGGGGATTTTTCAGCCATATTGAAATTAATGTATTTTGTAAAAAATGACACGGAAACACTTTTTTCGTCTTTCGTGAATCACTTGATCAACAAGTAGTAAGAACAAGTGGATGTTACTACTGGTGGAAATGACAAAGAAGATGACAGGAAGTGGTAGGAGGATGATTCTTTTGGTGTTTAATGACTTATTACATTATTCACGTATGATTTTAATTGCATTTTCTATTTTAATGGAAAAACTATAAATGCAAAATTGTGTTTTTACGACTTTAGCAGTAAAATCATCAAAATTTTGAATACACTTGTAAGAGAAACGCAGCCACAGAGATCATGGTTCAGAATTTGCATAACTTTATTGGCCTTTCTTCTGGTCACTCAGACTCCTGTAAACAAGTAGCATACTGACCACTCATAAGTACACAACACAGCCCCGCTTTGGAGAGCAGCTGTCATTGTTTCTCTGCTAATTGACTTGAAATGAACCACAGATTGTGAGGAAGGGCTAAACCCAGGTCCAGCATGGTGAGTGTGTGTTCACGGTCTCTCCTCTGTTTGGGTGCAGGAGCCTCTAGTCAGAGCTGCAGTGCTACATAAACGGCTTATTTTGTCTTGACTCCCTCCTCCTCCTCCTCCCCCCGTTCCTCTTCCCTGTTCACCTCGAAGTCGAGCAGATCACCACCATTTTCACGGCCGCCACCAGGCAAAAGGCATGGGACCATTTCTCAAAAGCGCAGCGCAAGAACATAGACATTTGGCGCAAGCAGTGTGAGGTTGGTACGCCTTCTTTCTGTTCTCTCCTCCCAAAACCCCGCAGGCCCGCCGCTTTCTTCTCCGCTGTCACCCGCGAGTCCCCCGGGGAGAGCGCTGACAGACAGGGGCCCCCGTCTGATCTGTCAGAGTCGGCGGCCCCCGTTGTTGTTTTACCGGATGTTTTCCCTCTCGCAGACAGACAGACACACACAGACAGAAAGGTAGCTGCCTGTGATCCCGGGCCTCTCCTCCTACCAGCTGGGGAACTGTGAAGCATCTGACGTCTCTTGGAAAGTGTGAGCCACTGCCATGGCAACAGTGATTTCCAGGATTAGGTCTCTGATCAATTATTCATCCAGAATTAAATCAAGATAACGAGCATGAACATGAGGAGTCGGCGTGTAACGGGGGGAGAGGGGACGGTTTCAGCGCAGTCGGCACTTGAGAGCTGCCTCTGGGTTCAGATGGATGTGGCTGCCTGGGCTGGGCACGGTGGTGGCTTCATGCTGCGGTGGGGACGAGGGCTCAAACTATTAATTGGGATGAGTTGATTATTAAAATGATCACCAACTAATTTAGTAAGTGATTAATCGTTCGCTGGACTGTATGGACTCAAAGAAAGGCCATTTGCAGACAGAGCAACAACAGCCGGAGCAGTAATTAAGCCAAAACTGTTCAAAGAATAAAAACATTTTGCATCTGAGTTAAAAAGACCCTTTGCCTGTAAAAATGTTAGACCCAAATCTCCTCAAATGGCAGTTTTAGCTTCACCTGGTTGAAATTCTGTGAAAGAAAATCTCCTGTTAAAGGGACAGTATTGTAGAAAATCAACCCTTTCTGGCTTTAAATTATGTGTTGATGTTATTCCCACATCAAAAACATTTCTGGAGTGTTGCCTTGATTCTTTCATGCATGTTTGAGAAATGCTTTAATCTCCATGGCAACCATTCAGCTGTGCAAAACGGCTAGTTGGACCTAGCTCCGCCTTCGAGGACAAAGCTCCTCCTCTGAGCTGCAGTTTATTTATTAACCAGTTAAAAAAATAATCAACAGATCAGTCCTACACTGTGTTGGCATTAAGTCGTGCAGAAAGATGGAGCTTTCTTTGAGCTGCAGCATACTGCAACGCAAGAATGCTGTAAAACAACAAAAAACTAAAATATAAAGTGAAACAAGATGAGTTATTTGAAGTACTTTAAGAATTTAGAAACAATCGGCTCGCAGGTTGAAATAATACCTCAGAGTGAACAGCTGAAAATGTTTAGTTTGGTGTTTAATTCATGGACTCTGACCTGGAAACAGTTCAGATATGAAAGATTCTCCTTCATTGGGTTTTGTACAGGCACTGAACTTTATCACATTGATTTCAAGCAACTAATACCAAGACTGACGACACTGGTGGGATTTTATAACGTCTGTCGTCATGGTGAGGACCACAGCAACATCCATTTTCACATCAACTCCAACCAGCTTCTCTGTCACTGCAAGAAAAAAAAAAAAGCCTTGTCCTTGCCCACAGCATGATGGTGCCATGGCCTTGTTTGTTTTTTTATATCCAGATGTTGTGTTCAGAGTGATGTGCAGCTGAAATTATGCTGAGATTAAACTGAATATCGAACTCCTAACTAGGTGACTTTTAAAGGCAGCTGGTTGCAATGAATTGTAAAGATAGGATACTTTTTTAAGTGCCACATTTTCAGATTTTCTTTTTTTTATGCAAAATTACGCACTGCTTAATGATGTAAAGACATGTGAAAAGACACAGGTTTCACTCTTCATCTGTAGAAAAAAGCTTTTGTTTCCTGTGAGAACTCAGGTTAAAACAGGCGACTTTTGAAGAGCTGATAAGTCACCGGCCAGGTGGGGGTCTCATGTTTTCACTTCTCTGCTCTTCACTTGAACCTCACACAGGCATGTGCATGACTGATTAAAGTCCACAAACTCTTTGTTCCTGGAAATCTGAATTGTAACATTGCCACAACCAAGTTATTTAGTTTTGTAAAGTGCCCGCCATGTAAGCTGTGTATATATGTATGTGTGTGTGTATGTGTGTATGCTGTGATGTTTCAGGAGCTGAGAAATGCTCACAGCGAGGAGATCATGGGCATCAGACGAGAAGAAGAGATGGAGATGTCAGATGACGATTCGGATGATATTCCCAACAAGAGGATGCGCACAGAAGAAAATGGTTTGATGAACCGTTATGTCATTAAAGGGGCAGTATTATGTGTTTTACACACATATAGTGTTATAGCACAATCAAGTTACTATGTTACCTTAAGTTGTTACAAAAATATTCTACATATCAAATTTAACACTAAAGAAATTTGATGTCTTGAATTTGGGCCTTTGTCTCTTTAAGAAGCGTCTGCTCTTTCTGAAACTCCGCCTTCAGGAAGTCATCACAACATGGCTCCTCTGTTAACCCTTTAACAATGTTTTTACCAGCGTTTACACAGCTCCACCAGCTAATTGCTGCTGGCTAGCCTGAAGGAGCCATTTTTGAGCTTTTCGTAGGGGAGTGGTGTTCAGAAGGTTGGAAACTTGAAACTGAGCTGTTGCCTCAAAGCCAGAGCTCGGTCCACACAGGTGTTTCCACAGCTGAATGGTTGCCGTGGAGATTAAAGTATTTCTCAAACATGCTTGAAAGAATCAAGGCAACGCTCCAGGTCTGTTTTTGACGAGGGAATAACATCACAACATGACATAAATCTAAACAAAAAACAATACTGCCCCTTTAAAAAAATATTCCCAATTGCAAAAATAGGAACCTTCCTAAGTGACGTCGCGTTGCCTCCTGCAGGTGTGTGTGATCAGACCCAGGCCTCCCTGAGGGAGGAGAACGACTCGCTGCGCTGGCAGCTGGACGCCTACCGGAACGAAGTGGAGCTGCTGAAGAAGGAGCAGAGCAGAGCCGGGCGGCCGGACGACGACCACGCGCACACACAGCCACACACACACGCTCACAGCGCCGAGGCTCAGATCCAGCTGCTGCAGCAGAGCATGCACAACATGCAGCAGGTAAGGGCTGCCGTCTTGGATTTATTTGGAATCGGTGTTCACATCTGTAGCAGAATAACACTTCAGTCCCATCTGGCCTCCTTCACTTTGAATGAGAACAGGATTTTCAGTTCAGCAGCTGAAAGTGTAACAAGTGTTGCAGTTTTGCTCCCCAGTTGAACCGAGTCATCCTTAATCTGATGTTCTCAAGTTGTTTAAAAAGTCATATAAACAGGCGGCTAAATTTACACACACATACAGACGCAAATTCTGGTTTCTCCCATAATCCCCCTCTCCTTTGAATCCGCAGCTCGGAAAGCTTTTAGTTCACATCACTCGTTTGGCACGAGCCCGCCTGATCCGACTCGACTTCCTGTCCATCTCAATCTGAAGAGACAGGGCTGAAGGGACGACCCCCAACACACACACACACACACACACACACACACACACACACACACACACACACACACACACACACACACACACACACACACTCACTCACCCTGCTGTCACGTCTTGTTTGTCACCTGCTGCTGTTTTACTTCCCAGACGGCGAGCCGCAGCGAACAAATTAGGAGATTTATTAAATACAGTTTTCTGTGCCGTCGCTTTTATGCAGAAAGAACTCGTACTTCATAAACTTTTCACGTTTTTCACACTTAAATGTGACAAATTATGCATTATTTTGAAGTGGAAGAACATGCTTTTTTATGGCAAATAAATGTAGGTTTTTGCTCCGTACCTCCAACAGCTTTGCAGTTTTTGGAAATATTTGTTTTCAAACTCGTTCAACCTCAGTCAGATTAGACAGAGCGTCTAAATCTTGATATAGATTTTTAATTGAGGTCTAGATTTTCTCTTCATACCTTCTAGTCAACTTCCTTCATCCCTTTCTGAAAATAAAGCAAAAAAATATATATACATACATTTGGTCACATTTCTAAAACAGGGGGAAAACACTGATAGAGAAAAAATATATAATGAATATTTGACTCAACTCTGCTTTTGTATATTTATCGTGAGAAAATAAAATAAAAATCAGTCAGATTTAGAAAATAGATCTTTCAAAAAGCTTTTTTCCCCCATACTCCTCAGGGCTTCCGTAGCATTCAGTGGATATAGATGCATTTCTTGTTTTTAGACAGTTTTAAACTTGAATCCTTTCTTGACGCTAAGCGCGTATCTTGGTTTTTTTCTTTCAGGAACTCCTGAGCCTACAGGAGAAGCTGTCGAGTAAAGAGACGGAGCTGGAGCAGGCGAGAGAGGAGCATCACTACCTGGAGCTGGAGGTGCTGACCCTCAGAGAGAAGGTGTGTGCTCAATGTCACTGGAAAACATAGATCACCCAGACAGCTGCGGCCTCCAGAGCCATCAAACATGATGCATAATAGACACACAGAGAGGAATTTAGGGAAGAACAGTGGATCCAAATAGATCCAATCAGGAATTGAACATAGAAATAATCTTTTTCACTTTTCCCTCGGAATACTTTTTTTTATTTTTCTATAAAAGTCTGCAATGTTTTTTAGTTTACCTTCTCACTCTTAAGTTCAGCTCATGCAAGTTAAGATTAAAATATTTTATTGTTCTAACAATTACCTGTAGGGCTGAAGGGGTTTCTCACATCAAAATGAGCTACTTAGCTTCGCTTGAAATGAACTACTTAGCTAAGCTACTTAGCTTGATACGAGCTACTTAGCTTAGCTTGATACTTAACCTATATCAAGCTACTTAGCTTAGCTTGATACTTAACCTATATCAAGCTACTTAGCTTATTTTAGGCTAAGCTACTTAGCTCAGCTTGATATGAGATAATTAGCTTGGCTATTTAACTTAGCTACTTAGCATAGCTTAAGGAAATTTTGCTAATTATATTGAATATTACTTCTATATGTTGTTTTTTAAGTTTATATATAAACATCAATCTGTATTATTTTAAGTATAATATTCTAAATCTTTAATTTTAGCAGAAACAGGAAATATTGTTGCTTTTCGACTTTAAGTAAAAGCAACTATATGAATTTTTAAACATTTTGGTGTTAATACTGCATTACTTCGAAACCATGGAAGCAACTATGCTATCATCTATTATCACAAAGATAAGATGGAATCATTTTTTTCGCCTTTTTTCGAGTCTCAGTCCTTTTAAAATGACAAAGACGGCATCCAGCCCAACAACACAAACTGAACAGCAAGAGTCTGATCAAACTTTGCGCCATTTGTGGCATCAGCTGCAGTTTCCTCACTCTTTTTCATCCTCCTTGTTACCGAGTTTCTCAGATGAAACATGGCAACATAAAACAGACACGGACAGATTGAGAGAGGGAGAACGATGGATTTAAAGTATCGAGGAGATGAAGGATGTTGGAAGGACACGAGCGCTGCTATGGCAACAACAGTCAATTCTAATGAGGGACTCTTTCTGCATGTTCCTGCTGAAAGGTGATTGCTATCACCTTAGATAAAGCATGTGTGGGCTAAAGGCTAGTTAGTAAAACTGTTTTGTTTCTCGTATTGATTTCTCAAAAAAAAAAACTCTTTTTAGGACTGATTACATCGAAATGTCAATTATTTTCCCCTGCCTTAGCGTGTAGAGCTGAACCAGCGTTGTGTTGCTCTTCGTCCGTTGATTCTGTGTTAATGCAGATTGATTTGAGTTTTTTCTTGGACTGCAGCTGCGGTCTCACTTCACTAATGCTGTTGAATAAAACATTAAAACTGATTAATGTTTTAAAACTCAAAAAACAAAAAAACCTCACATGTAGAGGAGTCCACAGCTGACATAAAAAGGGAATATTGTAAAAGGAAAAAAAAGCTCCAGATATGGAGGCCTTTGTCCATAAACTCACTATAAAGACGTTTCTTTTACAAGTTGATTGGAAGAACATCATCGTGTTTCGTCTTTGGTTCAGCGTAAATCTGAATGTGAGCAGTGTGGCTTTGCTTTGCATACAAGCTGTTGAGTGAAAGCAGCTCTTGCCTCTGCTATGCTGCTGTAATGGGAACATCGTCCCGCTCCGCTGACGGACAGCTGCCTGGGCAGATTCGTAGCAGCTGTTAGCTTGAGGAAACAGACGATGACCATAAGCTGGAGGGAATGAAGACTATTTCAAACAGATTTAGGGAAACTATCTATATTCCCATGTAGGTTCAACCATATAGAAAACTATTTTCCATGTTACATGTTTCAGATCACCAAACTAATTTTTAGGACAGTTAAAGATAACCAGAGTAAATATAAAAATGATTTATTAAATTTGGATGTCATATATTAAGGGGGGAAAAAACCTAATCCAACGTGGCTCTACATAGAAAAATAATCACTTCCTTATTAAATCTTAATTTAATGTGATTAAACAGATCATTTAGAAAATAATGTGTTAACTATTTGCAAATCACATGTGGGTCTGTTTACTGCCCGACCCATAGAACCAGAGAAATGTTTACCTAGCTAAGCTATCTAGCTAAGCTACATAACTTAGCTTGGCAAATGTT